AACTCATAGATCCGATTTATTGGTCGTCTCGAAAGCCTACTCATAACGAAACCTTAATTAGATATGTCTTTTATCTAAATAAAATAGGCGGACTAATGGGAAAGTGAGGCATAAAAAGTTCTCAAAGAAACCTTAACACTTTCTTATGCTATGCCTTATTTTAGGGAGAAATATGATTAATTATCGAGATCCGGCCGTTGCAAGTTTTTGTGCTTCTGTGGTCAACCTTAAGAGGATAATTCGTCTCTGTGCCATTTCATTAAAGATTAGGCCAACACAACGCTGCTTGCAAAGGCAGTCTGTCTACCGGTCAGAAGTTGTCGGACATGTAAGCCACAGACTGGACATGAACAAGAATGGTCTCAAACGTGTGGATTTGTTGATTTTTGGTTCGTCTGCTGTTGAAAAGAACACAAGACAAGCTATTGGAACTAAGAGATCAGGCAATTGAGGCGGAAAGATGCTTGATGACCACAGAATACCGACTTCCGATTGGTGATTTCGAAAGCTGACTTTCACGTGTACGGGCTTACATATCACCAATTGAACCAGACTTACTTACCGAATAGCATAATCTCATTCATGCTTTTTTCATTTGTCACTAAGCCTTGATGGCCTGAGGCATTTTCATAATAACTCTGATTTATGACCGGTTTTGCGTACAGACTTTAACACAAATGCACACACACACACACACAGACATACTTGAGGATTTGATAATTAATCAAATCATTCACTATTCTTTGATACATAATTATTTTTTCGTTGTAAGTATATAGATCTAGTAGGAAAGAGCCGGTCAGTCTTCTTGACTTATTTTTCGTATATAAACAGACTTTCGAGACTACCCGTAAATCATATCTAGTTGATTGTTATAGCAAAAATACGATTGCTTCATCGGCAATCCCACCAAATAATGTGATATGTGATAAGGCCTGGCCTTCCTTGAAATTCACATTTGTCCTGTGGCCGAATGGTTAACGTGTCAAGCTACCATTCTCTACTGTTATGATTCGACTCCTGCTGGGGATGTTGATAAGACCGATGCGAGGTCGAAACTGCAATCCACTGGGGCCTGGATAAGAAGAATTGTTGGGAAAGCAAGGCTATGTGAAAGTAAATGGAAACGTCAGCTCTACTCATATCATTGTGGGAAAATTCTACTACCAGTCCTTCATCACCTTAAACGCTTTCACTTAATGTTAACCATGAATTCTTTTAAAAATCCTTTTATCGAATTGCTAAGCAAAGAGCTGATTAGTGGGTCACAAGAGTTAGTCAGAAGACTAGGACTAGTGGGGCGGGCATCTTATAAGCATGATGAATGGTTCACATAGCGGGATAGTTAGGGTTTATGGAAAACAAAGTGACATGGGTTGCTAGCTGACGATATTATCTTCAAGCTTTCATATGTCATCATTTTAGCAGATCATATGCTTCCCAGGGAATTCAAATCTTTGCAAGGCCACACTCAATCCGGATTAGTCTCTCAGACGATAACTCTACAGTTGACCCTTTTCTAAAATCCCAACGAAGAGGAGGTAGATACTGTCAAATATTTATTAAGGCATATACAATTTGAAGTATTCACAAATTTCTAACAAGCATCAGTGTGAAAACATGTAAAGACGGAGGAAAAATTTATCTTTAAAAAACTAGGTAATATACACGAGCATCAAATCAAGTAAAAGACGGCATCTTGAAAGATCTGAAGTCTCTGAAGAAAAAAAAGGATGGAGCCAGGTATAAATATGAGGTCGAATGTCGAGTTACAGAAATATCCAGACTTATAAAGAAATAATCACAGAAGCGTACCCGAGCATTGGCATACGGTGTTAATATAAGACGAAACCGCTATACAGAAAGAATAAAGAAGCCTGGAGAAGGCAAATCTGGAAAAGCCCAGG